TAGCGTTCAGGCATTTCATAGAGGCACGATCGATGTCAATGGGCGTTCACTAACGCCTATGAGACAGCCTGGATCAGTGTCAGAAATTCCCTTCAAATAGCGTGGGACCGCCGTAACTTTTCCTCTCGCACTCGCACGCACTCACGCCCTCACACTCCCTTGTTCAGAATATAGCGGTTGTGGTCCCATCTGTGAGCCTTTTTTCTCCGGCGCTCGGCACTGGAGTTGGTTAGCATCAGATACCACAGGTCGGTGAATCAGCAGATATAGCAATATCATTATTGACTCCACCTTTGAGGTCCTGAATTTTGTGGACACAAACTCGTTTTAAATCCTCAACAATATTGCGGACAACTATTCAACTTTAAAACGCAAATCCAGCTGACCGGCCACCCTATTTTTGAACTGCCAGCGTAACCGCTTACCATACATGGTAACATCAGGCCCTTCCAGCTTGAACCGAGGTTTTGGGTAGAGCAACACCCAAAAATATTTCACCAAGGATACCATCACAAAATGTAAGAACCTACACAGACCAGTTCACAATGTGGTGTAAACGGTTGACCCAGGCAAAATTTGCTTAAACTGTAGACAACCGCAAAAATAACCAGGCACATCAACGCGGCATCTTGCGTTACAAACTGTGGTTTACACCCTCGGGTCCCGTAGACTTTTCGTAAGGGGGAAGAGGGAGGAAATTAAAGGGGAAAAGGAGCTCCTTTGACGAAAACGAGAAAGTCATTCAAACAAGGGTAAAAGAGGCGGGCATAGAAATAGTATCTCGGCGCGGTCAACGTGTCTTCTATTTCTATATCATTGACCGACAGTTGCGTCCTGCACAATTCACGTACTTTCTATGGACAATTCCAAACGCATATTACTGCAGGCTCAGCAGAATCAGCGCAGCGACCGGTTTTCATGCCTGCATCAATCACTGATGCTAATGATCCATCTTTTCGGCATTCCGACATGGATCCCCAGGTCTGCAGACTTGCTCCGAAATACAGTTGCATAAACAACGGAACTCAGACACACCGAATGGTGCACATTACCTGCAATGCACACTGGCAGAAACTGACAGCTGGCTAAAAGAAAAGTCGCCATGTCAGGTTTTGGCTGGTGTGATACCCAATGGCTTCTGCGCAAGTAGGCTTGGATTTGCAGCCCCTACCTGGATGGGGTTGACGTCTGACCCAAGTGATTTCGCCCATATTAATACTGATTCGGCGGGTTGCGTACTGCTTCTTCTTACTCCAGGAATTGACATTTCAAACATTGGATGGAAGGAACATGACATTAAATGCAGCCGTTGGAATCTACCGGCATCATCAAGGCCATGTATTGAGAGGATAATTCAAAAGAATGTTTTATTCATTCTGCGACAGTCCACAAAGCCCGTGGAAAAGCGGTTTGACTACTGCGTCTGTCTGTGCTGGCCATTTACTTCCTTCGTTGAAGCTGACTCCATCCACGGATTGGTACACAGGATCAGGTATTTTGCCCAAGCCTCCCTGGTGGGTTAGTTCTCGTCTTTCAGCAGTTTACGTTCATCTGAGAGGCATAGGTCGAGAAGGGTGTGGCACTGTGCCTCAGGCTAACGACGCGAGGCAGCATAAAAAACATCTAGAAGTGCTTTGAACAGGGTGCTAGATGAACCGTGAGGAACCGTCGAAAGGAGTTTATTCCACGAACCAAATAACCGAAACTAGAAAACCCGTAGTCCAATAAAAGCGTGTGCTCTGAGCTTGGAAATATATTTGCCACGCGCTCGCCGTGTGTTGGTCGGCATAACGGTAAAATACATGTTGGTGAAACCCTTCTCAAACGTGGCATGAGTATTCGGCTCTCTCGGAGGCAACAGCAACCTAAGGGAATTACGTCAAGCAACGCGAGACGCGTTTCATAATCCATGTGTTTAAGGCCGACAGCCACCTTTGTAGCAGCTCATCCAGTGGGATTTTCATATTTATTGCGTTTTCAGTAGACAGGTCGAGTGGCCTATTTAGAACTTCAGAGCCATATTTAGACCTCAGAGAATATCTAGAAGTACTTGCGAACAGTATGGGGGAAGGTGCACCGGATAATTCGTAGGCCGACGAATACCTTTTGAGCACATTTTTAATGAAATGAAGACGTGTCCGAATGGAACCTGACACCTTAATCTTATTTGTTATCCATTCTTGTTATGTCTTCCACTCCATTCTTACCATGCACCACAAGGGCTTTCGCGAAGTTTCTTCCGAAGGGCTATTTGACGCACTTTTCGTCATTCGGAGGAAGGTGCTTGTCCAACGCCAATGATTTCCAGCGTCTAAATCCATTTGAAGGCGCCGACAGTCGAACCCCAGGATTTCATGTTTTCCGCAAAAAGTAGGTAGGGGTTTGAAAGAACACCTGAAAGGTCTTCGACGTAGATCGGTAACAGAGATGGCCCTAATACAGAGTTTTGAGGTACCGTAATGTAGACTGGCGCCGGGGAAGGGCATTTCAAGCTTGCATCTACTCGGGATATTCTGTCATGTATGAACGCGGTAAGCCAGAGCTGAATATCCCCGTGAATCCCTTAAGACTCAAGGCTGTGGAGCGGCGTGGGGCTCCATCGAATGCTTTTGAGAAGCCCCCCGTTTTCAGCTTAGGTGAAGCTGTCCGTAAATGAAAATATATTCGTCACCGATGGACAGCGTGGGAAAATTTGGGTTTGCGCTAGGGATGAAAATTTGTTGGTACTGAGGTGATTTACGGTGAAACGCTTTAGATCGCATTCCATCAACTTGTATAGCACGCCAGTGGAGTTAATAGGCCAGTAGCTGTCGGGCGATAGTCGGTCACCAGTATTGTACATTGGTGTGACAATTGCTTTCTTTCAAACAGATGGAAGATGGCCTTCGTCGTGCGTATGTTTAAACATTAGGGGGAACTGAATGTCCAGTATCAGTGCCGTTTTCTTCAGGTTGCTTGGATGGACCTCGTCTGACCAAAACATGTTCAAAGGGTTTGCCTTGTGCAAAGGTTGAAAAACACCCTCCGCTGTGAGGAAAAAGTTGATGAGAGGCCCTTCGTGATTATATACTGACAAGTTTGTATGCAATGAGGTCATTGGAGAAGAATGTGGCCTGAACAATGCTTCCTGTGGACTTCAGACACAACTTGCGGGTTACTCTTGGGGTCCCCTTTCTGCCCCTTAAGGAGAGGGCGGCTGATTCATTTATCCATCTCATGTGCTTAAATAGCACAGTTTTGTTATTCTTCTGGACAAGCTGTAGTATCTCGGCCTGTTGTTGCATGCTACATTGGCGGATTCCTGATTTGCAAGTTTCGGCATCTTAGAAATTGCCAAGTCATCTTCTATGTTTCCTGGAGTCGTCTTCTTGGAAAGTAGTTTTCCAGAAGTCGCCGATTACTCTTGAGTAGCTTTTGGTCCATCCAGCTGCGAACTGGTCTATTTAGGAGGAACACCGCCTCGGCTGGTGAGTTTTTTGGACAATATTCGTGTGTACTTGCTCTACCGAAGCTAGTTCCAATTTAATCCGATGAACCATTCTACGGCAGGCGTTTCGAATCCACCTTTGAGATTCCGGATTTCTGGTCTGGCATGAGATCGGAGGGTAGAACACAGCGTCCACAATGTATTACTGGAGCTTTGGTTAACACTCGATCAACGAATTGCATTTCACTGTTGAAAATCTAGCCCAGCGGGATGGTAGTCGGCCCGCGCGGTATTTGGTGGGTTGTTGAACGACTTCAGTCAGCGCCAACGCAAAATTTCCAATAGATCTGATGCGCTTCAGTTCCATCCAAGAGACATGGAGAGCGGTAAAATCACATGCCAGCATGAGATGCGTAGAGTTTTAGCCCGGGAAGAGTTGCTCAACAGTTTGTATGGGGAACCGGCAATCTTCCGGTATACTTGAAGGGCAGCGATAGACCACACAGAGGAGAAGAGAATTGGTCACATATGGTGGTATTTGAAACCACAGTGCATCACAAAAGCGTCCAGAAGGCTTTATTCTTTGTGTTGGTATCTTCCGGGGCTTTGTAAAGAAGTACTATTTTGCCCTCGAGTGTTCCGATTAGATTAGAACATTCGCACTGGTCTTTCTGACTTGAAAGAGATGACTTGGTTTTGCTTGTGAAGGCTGCTTATTGGTTGTTGAACGCATAGCGCCTCTAAAGTAGAGGCAACTCTTGTAGACAAATGGGTTAGGATAGTAAAATAATTGACTCGTGTGGTCGCCCTGCAAATACCTCCAGGCCTAGTAGGTGTGATATTGCATTCCACGTTTTGCATTCGATAGACAACCGCTTCGTCCATATCTGTTGTTTTCTGCCACTAGCTGTTGAGAAGAGAAGTCTGTAATAAAACGACTCATGATTGAAAGTTATTGCACTACAGAAATAGAGTACAAGATTTTGTTGGAGTGAAAAATTCAATAAAATGGCATGTACCGTATCTGTAAATGAACTAAACAGGGAAAGCTTTCTTTCACGGATCTACACGAGTCTGGTGGAAATTGACATCCTCAAGAATCAGATTCTGGAAGAATCCTAATCAAATATTATATCACCTTACACCTGACTTCAGCTCTGAAACTGAGGGTCTAACAGGACCACAGGTTGAACCCTCTGAGATGACCTTATAACTGGCACATATTCAAAAGTTCTATTTACATGCGCAACGCCCTTCTATGTTATGGGACTTGAGCGATATACGGTGCTCGAATGCATCGGCGAAGGATCTTTCGGGCGGGTCTATCGGGGTCGGATAAAAGAAACAGGGCACGTGAGTTGACGGTGGTGTTTTCTGTATTTTTGCAGATAGTTGCCATGAAATTTATTCCAAAAGTTGGGAAGAGCATGAAGTCTTTGAAAAACTTGAAACGGGAAATCGAAATCATGCGGTCCATGCACCATGCAAACATAATCGAAATGAAGGACACATTTGAGACCGATAAAGAAGCACGTGTGATATTTCACTCTGTTCAATGTCAGCAAATTTTTAGGTTGTCGCTATAACTGATTATGCAGAAGGGGATTTATTTCAGGTTATTGAAGATGACGGAAAGCTCCCTGAAGAGATTGTACGTGTATGATTTTATATCTTATGCGTCATAACACACAGGTACGCTCCATTGCTTGCCAGCTGGTTTCTGCACTGTATTACCTCCATGCCCATCGCATCCTTCATCGAGACATGAAACCACAGAATATCCTTCTCGGACAGGAGGGCGTTGTGAAGCTGTGTGACTTTGGGTTTGCTAGAGTTATGAATCTAAATGCCATGGTGCTAACTTCCATAAAGGTAATAAAGTCCCCTATTTTTCCTACGCTGATTCCAGGGTACGCCACTTTATATGGCCCCAGAACTTGTGCAAGAACAGCCTTATGATCATACAGCGGACTTGTGGTTTGTTTCGTGCCTTTTGAAGTGAATTTTTAGGGCTTTGGGTTGCATCCTCTATGAACTCTTCGTCGGAACACCACCATTTTACACTAATAGCATTTTCCAGCTGGTGAAGCTAATAACAAAAACCTCCATACACTGGCCGCCAGATATGAGTCATGAATTCCGAGACTTCCTATCCAGGTTATTGCAGAAGGATGTCCGCAAACGCCTTCAGTGGCCGGATCTTTTGGATCACCCCTTTGTTGCTGATGGAATAGAAAGTAAGTACCATTCACTGTTTTATCTGGGAGCATTTTTACAACACAGGTGTTGCACCAAACTTGGGACTATGGCTTCTAGTTGTTTTTGGTCGTGTAAACTGTGATTTTGTACAAGCCATAACAATATTGCCTTAGTTGGCATAAATATTACCACCTCTTTTGAATACGTCAGATAAAGCAGTTTCTGTACTAGTAGGGATGGCGCGCATTCTTTACCACTTCTACAATGTTCGATAACCTAAAAGACTTTCCAACTGAAATTGAAATTGTTTCGGAAACAACGATCACAGGAGCATATTCAGACCGAACGATGGAGCACGACCAGCCCTACAGTAATGAAAACAGTACATGCTGACAAAGTGCAATACCTGGGTTTTTCAGAAGGATATGTGTAGCAAGGAAATAAACACATAAAAAGCGAATGTGCGTTGAAAATCTCAGACAAACTGAGCAACATGCAGAGAGATGTTTGCTCCAAATGTGCGTAACACTAAGTCGGTTACGCGTGCGAAAACTACCGCTGAACTGGGCAAGTAATGCCAGTTTCTCGAGTGAAATAGCGAACTTTGCATAAAAGTGGGCCCCAGACAAGTACTTTCCCGTGTTTCATTCATGTAATATGCTTGGGCCAAAAACGTCGTGGGATTATTCCAATGCTTAAATTGAGGCTTTCCTATCCCGTAGAACTTTTAGTGCCAAGTTGGGTGATTTCTGGCCCTGAAGTTTGTGTGGCTTTCGAAGGCTATTATGGAGAGAAATGACAAAATAGAGTGGGCTTAGGCTCCAACATTCACAAACGTGGAGGTCACATATTAACCGTCGGTAGGCTAGATGAGTGTTTGACAGTCATTGGGTCAATATTATAGATCAGGGGTAAACATGAGTTGGCTTTATCACTCAGTTCTTGAGTACAGCACTAATAAGTGAAGTTGACAGCTTCTCCGCATAAATTGAAACAATTTCAAAGGAGACAGTTATTACTAATAACTAATTGGAAAGAATCCTGCAGATTTCATTCAGACTTCTTTAGGAACTACTGACAGTTTGTGCACCGAGGAACGTTTTAAAAAAAAACCCAGTTATGTTTTTTGAGCAAGCAAAAGTTCGGAGACGTTTACCATTTATAAACGGATTAAACCAGTGTCTTTCTGTGCTATTTTCCAGAACCATGTCAAACCTACTTTGTTTTCTCCCCTTATTCTTTAGAAATCCTTAGAATAAACGGAATTCTTAACGTATTTTCCAGTGTTATGTCTAAACAAAATCCGTTACAACAGTGTTTGATGGTACTAAAAATTGGTAAGGCCCACAGATGCATTTAATCCTTTCTTCTAAGCTTGTTTTAATTAGATTATCACATGCAGAACAGTCAGGTCCCTCACACTAGAGAATCTCTTGGATATGCGATGAAAAGTTTTCCGAAATGTTTGGAATCTAACTGACCGGGTTATTTGCAAATGTACTAAGTGAAGTATAGAGATGGCAGGGGCTTCTCTTCTGCAATTCTCAATAAACTGTTGATAGAGCTTCATCCTGTGATTATATACAACAGTCAAAGTATGTAGTAAACCACCAAGATTAATTACATTTAGTATATTCCACTGATTTTTGGCAGCATATAAGCTAATGCTTGTCACAAGATGTACAAACCATGAATTGAACGTAGTTGTTAGTTTTCTGAGGACAAAAATTTTTTATTCAACCGTGTGATGTAACGCATGCAAATAAAGGATCGAAGTGTATTTAGACAGAGTACCTGTAATGCAAATATGACGTCATAATATAAGAAGCTTCGACTGTTACACATCCAAAGAAACTACGAGCACCAGCTTTGATGAATGAGAATTTTAGTTCTTTACCTCTATGACCCATTGCTGCCAGGTTATTCAGCGAGCCAAAAGGTTGTTCTTTTGTCGTCATAATTGGATCTCTGTTCAACTTCTTGTATGCCACGCAGTACAGTTCCGGTTAGACGAGATGCTCCGTCTAAGTGGGACTACATAGACCAAACAAAGTTTGGTACAGGTACTCTTGCATACATCATGTATAATTTTTTGCTGTTAATCTAAGGAATTCGTATCTGGACCACATAAGTCACATGTGATTTGTGATAAAATTTGCGGCAAGATGTTTAGTTATCCCCCTGTTTAGCGTGCTAAAAATGGCGTGGCAGATAAGATTTTTGTCCTCAGCTGCTTACCGGTTTCTGCAACAAATTTCCCCTCGATTCACTTTTGGAACCTGTTTGCTAAACTGTTTGCAGTTTCTAAGCCCTGAGTGCAGGACACTACACTTACAAAAGTTGCCCAATCGGGGTGGCTAATCAGAATATTTCTTTGGGCAACCAAGAGATGCTCTGGTGTACTAACTTTGCCTTAGAGTTTGCAAATCACTGAAGCTTCAAATCCTTAGTGCTACAGGATAATAGTGGAGTACTTTAGTTTGAATCATGTAAAGTGTTTGGCCAAGCACAGTCTTACATAACCACTCTACACGGTTCTCTGTACTTTTGTTGAGCCAACGTAAGGCTACATACAAAGTGTCATGGTTTTTCAGCGTTCCTGGCCGTCTAACAGTCTTTAACTCTTCCGCAATTTTTGTTTGCATATTTAGAATTAGTCTAATAACTGTTTGCCATGCAGTCGCGTGCCTATGTATTTTGTGGTTCAGGTTACCGAAAAAGACTTTTTGTGAGGTTGAAGTCCACATACACCATATTTATGCCAACAAGGTAAATAGCACAACTCGGCATTGCAAGAAGACCACCGGACCCAAAAGGTCACCAAAATAGAGAGGCATTTTTCGGCAGCGCACACGACACAACGAAGTGGTTGACGATTTGATAAGAATCAGTAGGCCATGCCAGCCATTGGATGCGTGGTATAAAAACTGCATTAAAATGTAGACCAGACGTTTGTTCAGGTAGGTTAGTGTTTTTCTATTAAGTGCAAACACGTACCGAAGCAGTGCGCCATTAGACGTCAATCGGTTCCTTAAAGTTTCTTCCACTGGAGTTTTACCTTCCATCCACTGTTTAGATTCTTATAATCATCCAGTTTGCTTGCCTAAATCATAATTTTTACCGCCTAAACAGACATTATTCAGCAGTTAATGGCAAACGCAAATGTACGGTACATGTATTATTATGCGCCAAATTAGCTTGCCTAGCCTAAGATGAAACTATCATCATCCCATCTGCACACAAAAGATGCATGACCGTTATCATGGATAAATCGGACTACGTAGATAAAACAAAGGCTTTGCTTAACGAAAGTACTACGTATCGCCGTCTAAAGGATGACCAAACCAAAAAACTTGCGAACAAAATCAATAAAAGTATGAAGCGACTGAGCGACCTCCAAGAGATCACAATCAAAGAATATTGGCGAACGAGAGCCAGAGATTCCACCACCTCACGCTTCTACGAACTTCCAACAGCGCACAAGGAGACCACACCACTACGGCTAATTGTGTCACTTTTAGGCACATTACCTTAAAACTTTGCAAAAAAATTATGGGGAAGGGTCAGATATCCCATCAAGGGATTGAAACACTCAATCAAAAATGCAAAACAATTCTTGGATAAACTAAAGAACGTGACGATAGAAGAGAACGAAACAATGGTTTCATTTGATGTTAGCTCACTTTTCACATCAGTGAACCTTCTTTCTGCAAAGACAACGGTCTCTAAACTACTGGATGGTCATGGACGTCCCAGCGGATCTCTAAGAAAAAAGATATCTATAAACTGCTCAACCTCTCTTTGACCACGAACTTCAAATTCAATGGGGAATACTACGAACAACTAGAAGGAGCGCTAGTGGGTTTCACAAATTCAGGGTTTACCGCCGAGGTTGCAGTGCAAAAACTGGAGAGGATCGTGTTACCAGATATAAACACAAAGCTGCGGATAAGTTATGTAGAAGATACCTTTGTCATCATCAAAAACGCAAACTACAACGAGCAATCCAATTGATAAACAGTATCTCCGATGACATCACGTTCAAGATGGAAGAGGGAAACAACAACAAGCTGGCGATTTTAGATGTTCTCATCACAAGGTTGCTAGATGGACGAATGCAAACGAAATTCCGCAGAAAGGCTACGCACGAGGATCAAATTCTGAACTACCACAGCGACCATCAAAACTATCAAAAACACAGCTGCATTCGGACACTATTCAAGCAAAATGAACCATACTGCAAAACATGGAATCAAAGGCAAAAGAAGAGAAACGCTCATACAAAATCTTTCAAAGAAACGGTTATCCAAGGAATTTCGTGCGTAGATCTGTGGAAGAATGAGCCTCAACCAACTCGACAACCGGAACCACAGGCAAAACAATCACATTGCCATACATTAAAAAATTTCGGAGATGATCGCAAGGATACTACGTCAGCATGCCATAAAAGTTGCCCACAGACTGACTGACACACTGCAAAGAGCACTTTCAAAACCAAAGGGGATACTTAATTCAATGGAGAAGACTAAAACTCAATGCAACGATTGTCGAAACCACTACGTGGGACAAACAGGGAGGAAACTGTCAACTGGAGTCAAAAAACACAAGCTCGCCACTAGGAGACACGACTAACTCTCTCCACTCTCTGCACACGAAGATGGAGAGGGACGATTGAAATAACGTCAACATATTTGGCCAGGCAAGAACAAAGCAGGAACGAGACTTCATGGGGGCGTGGTCCTACACTGATGGAGGAATAAACAGACGCATTGAGACTGATCCTGTCTACCAGCCTCTGAGGACAAAGGAAATCCAGAATAACAAAACTAGGAGCCGAACAAGGATTCAAAGAGAAGACCAAAAGAACTGCGAACTATCAAAAATAAGTGGTACACCACCAACCAATCAATCAACAGAGAAGCCAACCACCACGCAATGCAGATCACGAACGGACCAACCGGAAGCGACAATAATGAACGCCAATTCCAACGGTAGCATGGTAGTAGAAAACAAGAAATAGAAACTCCAACGCCACACAGATTATGATCAGACCAACCAGAATTCAAGTACGATGATTGCCAATGGCTAATCAGGTTACAATGCAAAGGCTGCTCTTTGTAAGATATATAAACGCTGGCACGAAACGAGGGACTACCCAACCAACAGCGCAGTGAAAGTGTTCCTCGGATGACGAACGGACCAACCGGAAGCGACAATAATGAACGCCAATTCCAACGGTAGCATGGTAGTAGAAAACAAGAAATAGAAACTCCAACGCCACACAGATTATGATCAGACCAACCAGAATTCAAGTACGATGATTGCCAATGGCTAATCAGGTTACAATGCAAAGGCTGCTCTTTGTAAGATATATAAACGCTGGCACGAAACGAGGGACTACCCAACCAACAGCGCAGTGAAAGTGTCTCCTCGGATGGTGACGAAACGTTTGCAAAGCAGTTGTCAGGCTTGGTGAACAGATCAACGGCCACCTGATGGGTTACTAACTTATGCAGCCGAGCTACCAAATTCCAACACATTGCGCTTGGCACTAGTTTCAGGACTCCCTAAGCCATCTGAAAGTATAGTTTTTTATCATGAGTCCTAAGTTTGTGAATAAGGTGTTGGGAAGAATCCAATTTTAGTTACTTTTCGGTTCCTAAGAATAAGGACGAACCGTTAACCTTCGCGTTGCTAAAAGAATTCTGAATTTTGACAGAGGAATCTTCCAAAGTCGGTATTACCTTGCTTCTTAAAAGAGGACAAACATTTGATTTAGTGCTAACTGCCTCAGCATTTTTTACGCAGCACATTTGAGATTCTCACATTTTCCGGAGGTTTTCTAGCATACAGAAGCTTCGGTAGTTCATCCCCAACAAATGCTCATTGTCTCTTGGATCTTTGATGTTTGTATAATCGTGGTTAATTATTGATCTGAAAGTTTTGTAGACTGAACTTAAGTAGGATCCGCTTAATGCGCGTTTTTTATTTGCTTTCAAGATATCTAAGTGGTTGTGTGTTTGGTCGAAAATTTTTTAAAGTTTTTCTAAGGGTTTGGCGGTGTTTCCGTTTTACCATAACCATTCAAATTTCTTTGACCATTGGTTGAGGTGAGTTGAGATTTGTGTCAATGCAAATGGCTTAAACAAGCAGCGTCTGTGAGCATGCAAGATAATCACAGCGATGCGTTCCTTTCAGTTCTCAGATAGTTCATACGATGAACCGTGGTTTCAGAGACAAGGATGCAGGTGACCGTTTTGGTCTCAGATATGCTGACATCAGAGTAGCTAAACGTGGTCTTGTGATAGTGGTTTGTGTATGCAACAGTCATCCTTCAATGAAACACATCTGGGAAACACAGACTATTGCCCACTTTGAAGTAGCGTGCATTTGATGAATTGGTTCTGGAGCATGACAGCACAAACGGTGGGTACCTAAAAGGTCATGTTTTAGCCACTTTAAGGTAATACATGAGCAGCAGCCGTGAACATTAAACGGACGGCAATACAAGAATAACTTCGACTTATGCAAGGTACAGTGTTTTCCAGTAAAATCGGATGCACAGTTTCTCTGTAACTCCCGGTGGAGGTGGCTTCTTTCAAGGACAATTGTTCCGGAGGCAATTCAGCCTGGAATGCCTTGTTTTTAATCACATGTAGTGCATGGCAATGGTCACAGGGCCTCTGTCTGTGAACTTTATCTAACTCTCTCAGTCTATAGTTACATACATCACTTCAATCTTGCTTGTTGGGGAGAAACAATGTCATGGAAGAGCTATCAACGGACAGCTTTATTGTCGTAGTATAGGTAGAATAAATGGTTTGAGCTGTCTTCAATCACAGACTGGCAGTCGATCATGCTCCGTTTTTGGTTGCGTTAAGAGGTTTGTGAATTTTTCAATAGAGCTCGCGTCCCTGATTCATTAAGCAGCAGTGCATATCTTGCGAGCCTTTAGAACGTGTCAAACTCACATCCTTCCGACTAGTAGTTTAAAAAAGCCGTTTAGGCCTTAGCAGCTAATAAACAACGTGATTAATTCTCACACAGTCAGGATGTAGCGCCCATTCTTCATCAGTTACGAAATTCACATCATGCAATCACGTGTTGAACGACTCTGTGAGTGAGAAATGTCTCAGACTGTTTAGAGTGAGTACACTTGAGCTCATTTTACTCCTTTCGGCGACCCAAGTGAGGTTAGAACCGCACAACAGGGCCGTCAACTGTTTACTAATTTAGTGTTTCTTTTCAGCCTTAGTATTCATCCTGCTCAAATACTACTGCACGACTCTTTCGTTTCGAAGAATGCACAACACAGAAAACTGGCCTGAGAAAATTTTCACCCTTGATGTAGCTGCTTCCTCCTCAACAACGATATATATTGGGTAGGACCTAAGGAAGGAAAGTAGATATCGGCGTCACATGAGACATGTGCTCTAACTGTTCAGCGTGGCAGATGAACTGAATTCACCCGGTTTTGGTGGGGTGTAAATGAAGACATTTACTCAAAATTGCCGACCAATAGACTAAGGTAAACGGAATTATGGAACTCTCGGCTTTAAGATTCCACTCCTATTACACAGTGACTGGTGCTTCACGATGAGCTATCACGACTGCAGTTGTGGCAGGGACTCTCAAAAGTTTGAAGTCAGAAAGAGTTTGTCGCATCATCTTAAAATCTAATAATTTTTGACGTTGCGTTGTTTGTATACAATTGGGTGTCGCATCCAACAAAGATCTCTGCTTATGGTGTTGTTTCAAACAAATCTGGGCGTTTTTAGAATAAGCGCCCTGGTTTCCTGAGTAAAACAAAATCAAGACAATGCCAACAGAATTTCCTAGGTCCGGGCATCAAAGATGGATTTGTTAGAATTGCTGTCGCAAAGAGATTTATGTGTGTTGGAGATGGAATGCCTGTGCCATTGAACTTATCAACCTTACGGTAGTCGACTAACTGATGGCCGCAACTGAAAGCAAGTTTGTCACCTTTTCGGGCCCTCTTTGAACATTTCAAGGCTTATGATGTTGTTAAGGGCATAAAATTATTTGAGATGTAGACTACTTTGTCCATACAGGGATTTTCCTTTGTATATTCATTTGCGGTGCATATCACTGGTTTGCGCGGCTCTGGTGTAGTTTTCATTCAGGCCCTAGCCCCCAACGAGTCGTGTTTTACTAACACTATGAATGTAAGCACTGTGGAGGTTTTAGCATCTGAGAGGCAATGCATAGTGTAAATAATGTGCACTTTGATTATCGGGAACATCTGTCTTATAGTGCTGATCATGTGTGAGATGTGTACCATACCATTTTACTACCCTGGCGACCCCTTTTGTCCACCATCTCAAATCTCTCCGCCAATCTGCCAATACTTGTTGTATAAGATAAAAAGATGGTTTGGGGAAAACGAGTATTCAGTAATTTCTAACTAGACTAATTTTAAAGATGTATTATGCAGCTGATTACTTTTTCAGCACGGTGGGCCTAACATTCTTGTCACTGTATAAAGGAAACAAGGCCAAGATGAAGCATTTGGTACAAGGCGTTTCTGAGAACGTACCCCATACAATATATTTCGACTTGCATACTCCTATAAGTTGCCTTTGTTTTTTGCAAAGTCATCCAAGAGATGTACTCAAGGTGAATGCGTTGGACGCACATTTCTTCTCCACATTTGCAATGCATTTCAAAGTGACCTTATTCCTGTGATGCAAGTTGATCTGCTGTCTGGTCACAAGTCTAGGCGAAATTCCTTTTCACGAATTCCAAACTCGACTTCCGATATCTGTCCCCGTTTTCGGATGTCTTTTTTCGTTTTTAACCTAACGAAATACACAAAATATTCTACCCTAAAATGGGAAGTTGGAAGGACAACTAGCAAGTTTTTGACTGATACTCAAGGAAAAATTTCAGGCAGTGACTCCTTGGACCGGACACCTGACGATGAAGTTCGGCTGCTGCCAGTGTCCACTATCATAGCCCACCTATATTCAACGGAGTTTTCGCTGAACAGAACAACAACTTTGCTGGCTGTCTGGCTTTAAAATTGCCTTTGTAGTTTGGTGGACGTAAACTCGGGAAGTTAACTACCGAACGGTTTTGTTTAACATGATTATGTTTTCTTGGCATCCACATACTCCCATTTCAATTCACAGCATGAATCGCTGGGTATCACTGGCATTTTCGCCCTGACAAATATACTGAAAAGCCGCGCTCCACTCAATCCTTATTGTTTTATATCAATTACACGAATCCTTCAACCCCGTCGAAGCTTAACTATTAGGCCCACTTTTGTCAGGATAATTCTGTATTTATAAAAAATCGGAAGGATTCACCGTCTGTGGCACAAGATGATCTAACCACCGTTCTTACTTTCACGTCACTTGCTTAGCATTCTGGTGATTATCATTCTTGTGCACTGAGAAGGTGATTTTGACGAAAGCAAGCGTTTTACTGGAAAACAGGGGTAGTCGATTAAAGTAGTCAAACGAAGAAGCAGGACACCTTACAATAGGACATATTATCTAACGTTAGCGCTGAACTTTGTTTTTAGTTTCTCCTCGAACACGTATGCTATCCAGTCCATTCACGCAACCGCTCACTCCAAGTCAGTTGGCCGAGAAGGAAAGACAAACAAAGGATCTCTTACGTCCTGGAGGTTCGCGAGTTCTGCGTCGGACTGGAGAACGGAACACCTTACGTCAAGTGAAGGAAGAAGGCTCTGGAGATCATTTACAAGGTATTCCCCCTTTGGCCCCATCGTCGCAGACTCGGACCGCTGCACGTAGAACAGAGCAATCCAACACCAATCATATACCTGTATTGACCAGTAACAGGGAGAGGGTTGTGTCCACTGTTGATCCCCATACCTACGCTGCTCACATCAAAAGTTCGGATGTGAAAAATGTAGGTGTTTAAATGTGTGAATTTGCTTCCTTGTTCCGCACATTGTGATACAGTACTTTTGTAAGGTTGATGGCATCAGCAAGCAGAACTTTACGTGGGTTGAAGAATAGAGAGTCTTTAGCGAAATACACTCATTTGCACTGCGCCTACCTGATGAGCCCCGAGAAGGGCAAAACCGATCTTGGGCTGTCAGCAAACTTATGAGTAGTGCATCACAAATAGAGAGTCTTTTTGAAATTAGATACTTCAATTTTCAGGTCCACAAACTGTGTCCATTGGATAATACCGGCTGAGATCCATTGATATTTAGTGGTATCCAAGACACTGAGTTGTTTCTTAGATCGGTTGTTTTGGTGTTCACACCAGTCACTCGTGTCTTACGTAGCTGATTCTACCGTATCTGAAATATTGGCCAGTGATTTCCAGTGAAACTGATTCGTCGCGGCTGCACTCAGCTAAACCCGAGGAGTCACACTACTTTGAGTGGATCAACCTTCTAAAAACAACTTTACCTATGCTTCATTAAAACGTTTGCTGAGGACGCAAAAACTAACCCTTGTGCCAGCAAATCAATTCGTGCGAATCAACCCTTACATAGTTCCGATATTCGTCTCGTCTTGCAAATGCGCACGATTGCGTAATTGTATAAATTCTTTTCAACCAACAGCACAACTTATTTACCAATGTCTGCAGGATTTAGACATTTCAAGGTCATTCATCATATTATTGCATAAGATACCATTGCGCTCATTGCGCTGAATTTTTCCGGTGTAGTGACCTGCTTAAACATTCCATTTGATTCAATACGGGCTACACTAAAGGCTCTAGAAGTTGGGTCAAACAATCAGAACCGTCACACTAATTGACAACAATCCCTATTGACAACCCCTATGGTGGGTAACTTCAAATGCTCTCATAATTCACTCTATTTGTACTCATTCTTGTCAAAAAAGAGAGGGAGAGCCCAAACTCCCTCCTTTTCTACGCTAAAAGCTGGATGCTTTGTCAATGGTGAAACTTAATCAGAAAAGTTTGTTTTAAACTTCGGAAATTGCGTTAGCGTAGACAGTAATAAACCAAGCGATAAAAACTTACCGCTGTGCTGGTTAATTTCAAGATCAAAAGAACACGGGTTTCCAGTAGACTAATCCATCTTGGCTCTAGTCGGCTCAATCCAGTGGGGGTAAAATGGGTTTTACCGCCAATCAGCATTAGCCCAATATAAACAAACGATGTATATTCGTAATGCACTACTCATAAGACCGCTAAAAATTTAGTTGTCTGGAAATATCACAAACGACAGATTCAGCTGGTTTTCAGGTGACTACCTCGCAGAAACCAACTTTGTTTGAAAATGAGTGTGTTTCGCTAAAAATAAACGACGTTCATTTGTTCACCAGATCTGGGAACAAGAAAGAACAGTACTCTGTCGCTGAGTTTCATTTCGAATCGGCCACCTAACAGAAGTAAATATTCGTAGTTTTTTGTTTTGCTATAACTAGCTGTATTAGATCTACGGTTTAGACCAGAGCGACTTGAAAGTGTAAGTCAAAAAGTGAACTTATCATCTTTTCTCAAACTTGCCCTCCGCGATGAAACCTTCGGGAAGTAGAGGTATAGTGAAATGAATCCAATACAAATGAATTACCAAAATTCCTGCTACTAATTAACGACGCCTAATAAAGTTCTCCGCAAGCCTCTCAAGTCTTACACCCAGTTGGACGAAGCCGAATGAGCACCTTTAACTCCAGTTTGTACTGTCACGAAACTGTTATAATGATCAAAGTATCAGTCTACTAGCAATAAAGCACTTACGTAGCTTCTTACCTAGCTTCTATTCTAAGCTTGAATAAACAATAAATCATTTAGTATTTTGTCCGATTTTCGGATGAAGTCTACTTGGGTAAATTGGTTATCAACGAGTTGCGCGTGGACATATTCACGTGACTTTCACCGAAACGATAGCCGGCCTTACAGACATTGCTGCTGATGGCTGTTGTTTTGTGTGCCCTGTCAGCAGAACTATGGCGAAAATCACTACTGCCATGTAATGACGCTAGAGAGGGAAGACAAATTGGGAGTTTTAGGAAGCTCTGCCTAAATTTAAGTCCGAAATGTACATACACATTTGCTTCCCCACACATCCGTCCATTTATCCATCCACCTACTTATCTGTCAATCAATCAACTAACCAGTTAATCAACCAGTCGACCAACCAACTCTATCTATCTATCTATCTATCTATCTATCTATCTATCTATCTATCTATCTATCTATCTATCTATCTATCTATCTATCTATCTATCTATCTATCTATCTATCTATCTATCTATCTATCTATCTATCTATCTATCTATCTATCTATCTATCTATCTATCTATCTATCTATCTATCTATCTATCTATCTATCTATCTATCTATCTATCTATCTATCTATCTATCTATCTATCTATCTATCTATCTATCTATCGTAGTCTTCGTCCCACTGAGATCTGAAACGATGAACTACCCAATCGTTTCCAAATTTTCCCAACTGAATAATGTCTTGCTGGTTTGACGCTGTGAATCATTGATCTTCAGCATTCAGCCATATACTGGTTGATGGTTCAGTTCGAACATTCATCATCTTCCTACCCGTTGACCTGTTTTCGCATAACATTTTTGTGCAATCCGAAACTTAGGCAGGTTCACCAAACCTGCCACATCAGAATTCGGCATATAGTTTTGCTGTTAGAAAACAAACTTTCGCTCAGTCACATCACAAGAAGAGCACCTGACCCTCCCAGCTATTCGTTGCTGGAAATGACCAGCGGCAGCTTGAATCGACTGACCTCGGAAGACTTTTGATAGATATCTCTCTGTCAGACTTTTGATTGTTCCACACATCCCACTTTCACAACTGAGAATGCTCATAAGTTGGGATAATATGCATCATTCCTAAGTTAAATATGGTTTTGCCGGGTAGTTTATGAACAGTCCAAAGCAGTTTCTGATATCTGATTGTATTGTTCTTCGTGTTCGTAGCAAGAAAAACGTTGGTCTCATTTGCTACCAGAAAATGAGGAATTTGTGCAATCACCCCCAACTCCTCGGGAGAATCGTATCGCGTCAGACTACGAGCGTGATAAAACAATACACGATCGGTTCCGGGAGACGAAGGAACAGTTGAAAATGTTGGCAACCGCACCCTCATCCGCAGATATGGCACGCCAACTTGACCACGTGACTGACTTATCGGTACGTTTTGGTACTTGTTATCTCATTTAGCAAACACTTGGAGTGGATATAGAGCCGGAAATAGCGTAGTTTTCAAGTTTACGGTTTGTCAGATACATGGAAGATGAATACACAGAAAATGTAGCAATTCCTTGCACCTGGCGAGACTTAATCCAAAATCTTCTTGTTTTAATCGTCTTCGTACAGTGAGGCATACAGTGCTTCATGCACACCGGAAAGGAAGCAATTCAGTTGTGTTAGTTCGTATAACCCAAATTCAGTAATAATGTAAACAAAGGTGAAATCCGACAGTTTCTCATCTACTCAGAAATTTACCTGCAAAGGTCCTGTGCCCAAGTTGCCAAACCTATCAACAGAAGAATATTGGTCCAGTGACCTTCTGGCGGATAGATCTTACGCTTTGATATGTTTGTCGGGAAATCGCCAGTATTATTGTTACACGAAACAGATTCGGTGATTTGAGCCCGATGTTCAGACATGGGTATCTGTGGTAATTAAGTTTCGTACGTATATCGGTACAACCCGACAAACTAGAAATCCAGAATTCAGCGAAGAGTGGCAACCAGCACGTATGTATTCGAATTGGCGAATATGTACAGCATATGGAATATTAAAACAAGAGAATAATGAATAGAGCAATGAATAGAGCATCAGTCATGTTCATCACATCCGCCACACCTTGAATGAACGTGTGGGTGTTTATAGTTCAGAGGTGGTCTTGACCGCAATCTTTCGGATCTTCTCGGAATGGAAACTTCAGAATCTTCACAGGTAGTACGTTCTTCAGATACAGCATTTTGTTCGGATACCACAAGATCATCTACAAAGGACTCATTAGTATTTGAAACAGCAGGAGTGCCGTTAACAGACTGACCTCTGGTATTGAACTCAACCTGGTCAATGTGTCTCCGATGACAAGAGAGATCATCCAAAGCGAGAATTGTGACCATTCGTTTGCCATTGGATGAAAGCACTATTCCTGTTGCGGGTCGTAAATCATTACCC